GCGGCTGCCTCAGTTTGCACCCCAGGTTGCGTCCTGGTTTCAGCGTTTTTTTCTGGTTTAAAGCTTATCTCTGAACTGATTTCTGTGGGGTTTTATGCATTTACATTGTGGAAAGCGCTAACTCGTTCCGTGTTTCTGTTTTGGATTTATTTATTTATTTTTAGTTAAAGCATTAGTGTCATCATGATTCTGCGTCAGATTCTGCGACTTTCGTCCATTTTTCGCTCTGCTGTGTCCGTTCACTTGCGCAGAAACATAGGGCTTTCTGCTGTTGTCTTTAATAAGACAAAAGAGCTTGATCCGGTTCAGAAGCTCTTCTTGGACAAGATCAGAGAATACAACACCAAGAGCAAGTAAGTAAAGGGAATCATTTTCAGGCTGATGGCAAAAGGGCAAAAATGTTGATTTTGATCAATGCTAAAATGTGCTAGTAGGTTGGTCTCTAAATACTTAAGGTAGTGCTTTCCTGCAACACTTACTGAGTGTCACAAGTGAGAAGGCTTGTTGTTGCATACGTGACAGAAAGTGCCCATTTTTTCCCCTTAAAAAAAAAAAAGCTGATGTTATTTTTCTTGGGGAGTTAAGATGCTCGTAAGGTTTTTTTGCACACTATGTGAACAGTGTGTTAATTCTCACCCGTCTGTGTGCTGTCTGTCTGAGTTACATGGATATTTTTCAGTCTAGTTTCCAGAAGATGAAATGGAAATAGCCTCCCAGAGGAATTGAGAATTAATGGAACTGTGAGGCTGATTCATTAAACATGTCAATAAGCAGTTCTTTCAGATAAAACTTAGATTCTCATAATGTTTGAATGAACTAACAGGAAACAGCCTATAGTAATTCTGTGTAATTTATTCTTGGGAATTATTGTTTGGAAGGAAATAAGCTACTTCTTAGTTGTGCTGGAGGAAGAGGTGTGTTTCCACACCTACAAACTAGCCTGTGTAGAGAGGCATATTTTTGGTGATGTTACCAATGATAAGGGATAGCTATGATGGTACAGTTGAGCACTGGTATATGTATAAGGTAAGTAGGCCCTATGGTGTGTCATATCTTAAACTTTTGTAAATATTTTAAATAGTTTGCTTTAGTTAGTTGTCAAAAAGGTTTTTAATTCATAAATGGCTATGCAAATGTAGAACTTTCATATGAAATTTCAGAAATGAACTGTTAATAATAACTTTTAATGTTTTTTAGGCAAGCTGGAGGGCCTGTTGATGCAGGCCCCGAATTTCAGAAAGACATGAATGAATCCCTCGCTAGACTTCAACGGGCATATGGTGAGGGAGATCTAACCAAGTTTCCGGAATTTAAATTTGAGGGTGAGTTAACAGTCTTACTGAATTTCTAATTGCAAATAAGGACATAAGAAACAAGACTGGTTTTCTTAATTCCCATTTAGTTTTTATTTGGACCATTAATTTCATGTAAGATGCCCTCAGTGAATCTCCTCACTTTTGCACAGTTCACATCTGATTCCATCTGCCTCCTTTTTTTGATAATTGGCCTTTTTCAGTAGAGATGTGGACTTACTCATACTGATGCTTAACAAAATTTGCAGTCAGATCAGTCTATCTTAACTACCCTTCAAAGACCCTAAAGAAATAGCCCATATATAAATAGAAGTATCAGAGGGTCTATTGTTACATTTTTTCCTCATCCCCCCAAAGAGGTCTGCAGACTGTAATTTGAAAACCAGTTGTCTATGTCATCCAAACTGCAATTTGTAAATTTTGTAGGCTCATCTGGAAAGTTGGTAATTTTAGAAAATTAACATAGAACTTTGTTACTTACTTCTTGACTAAGTTATATTAAACCTTTTACCTTTTTATTCAGTTATTTGGATATGACTTCTGTTTAACTGCTCTAAGTTTGTGTTAGCATGTTTTCATGTTACCCAGATTGATTCCGACAAGAACACTTGTGACTATCAAGAATACAAAGAAACTGCACAGACTCTGTCTGCCTTAGGATATAAAGGCAACTTGTTTTTTTTATAGACAGGCTCCTTTCTATACTTACTTGGTTTATTTTGCTTGCTTATGTAAGTACAGCTCAAAGTCTTCATTGCTCACAAGCAGTTTTAGGTAAAGTCAGGTTGTGTGAAGGTAAGCTGTCTTTCTCATAAGCTGTAAGCAGCTGGTAGCTAGGATTCAGCAATCTTTTGAACTTTTGCCAGTGTATTTGATTTATATGGGAAATATAAATGGGTATTTATAGCGAGGGGCTGCAGGGGTGGCCTCTATCAGGAGAGGCCAGGGGCTGTCCACACATTGCACAGAGCCAGTTCCATCCAGCTCCAAAATAGACCCACTGCAGGACACAGTGGAGCCAGTCAGAGATGCTGGTGGCACATCTGTGACAACATATTTAAAAAAGGGTGAAAAATGCTGTCTCTGTTCTCAGCCCTCCTGTGGACAGAGGGACGGAGGGAGGAAAAGAGTGAGAGCACAGGAGGCTGGCAGCCAGCCAAGGTCAAACCACCGTAGTGACTTGTAATTCTGATCAGGCTTTACTGGAAATTCTAACTTAGACCTAGGAACATTTTTGGCTTTTGGTGGTATTTCAATTGGATTAAGGAAGAATTCGGTGTCAGATTGTTACTGGTGCAAATAAACCAGAGCGTCTGTAAAGTAGGATCTATGTGGGTTTTGGGGGGTTTTTTTGATCCCAGTTTTAGGGATGTGGTTTCTTTGTATTCAGTTTTATTTCTACATAATATGTGAAACCGTATGTTTAGGATTTTTTTTTTTTAATGAAACAAATTTTTTGTGATTATAGGAACAGAACAAAGGGTAGGGAGACAGTGTTCTTTTACTGTTGCCTATACTTCATCTAATTTCAATGACTTCAAAAATAAGTGGCTAGATGGGTAGAAACTTAATTTTTTTTGTTATACTATAAGCTGAGCCTTACCTCTTGAACTCTTTGTAGCCAGGAGAACAGCATTAATAGCCTACCTGTCAAAAGCCCTAACCCTTCTGAATTTATGCCTTTGACATCAAGAACTCCTTCTTCAGTGTTTTTATGTAGAGAATATCTTTTGCTGAGTGGAGTTGAAATAGTGCACTCCATTCTGTTAAATTGCTATAAGACACTAATCAAGAGAAAATAAGAGCTTGGTTACTTTTTCTTATATTTGAGCTATGTTGGAAATGCTAGTACCATGTCCAGTAGTGTTCTGGCTGACTTCTTCATTTTCTCTGCTGCTTCTCCCCTACCCCAGGTGTTGCTAAAAGCTGTTTTTGCAAACATTACTATGTCTTAAACCTTACACATGACTCCTCTAAGGTGGAAAAGACCCATCTCCAGCGTAGTTTATTCTTTAGTGCTGCCCACATCCAATTGTACCCTGATACAAAGTAAGTGGTGGTGTAGACTGCGATGTACAAGAACATGCTTTAGCTTGCCAACTTAATGTTTAGTTTTCTTTGAATAACAGATGAATTGTGCTGTTTGAGGCTGGAATAGAAAGAGACTAATTAGAACTTTTCTCTCTCTCCCCTTCCTCCTTTAGAGCCCAACTTTGAGGAGACTCCGAAGTGATCTCTGCAGGTTCTGTACCAGACAGCAGTGTACATCAGTGGAGTTGCTGAATATGGCACCAGTTGTAACTTAATAAATGCAGTGTTTCAGTTTGATTTCAGAAGTGTGAATAAGTTCTTAACTGTATGGTGCGCATAGTTAACTACAACAGTTAACTCTTAAGTGGCTGAGGCATCTGAATAGTGTTTCTCTATGTTAACTGTAAAACTCCCTTGCCAATCTACATTTTAGTGCTGAGAAGTTGTAACACTGATAACAACACACCAAGAAGGAACTACTTGTTTTTCTGAGTTTGTTACATCCAAAAAGCTTCTGCAAAAAAAACCACCCCATGAACTCTAAAATCTGTAGCAAAGCTCTGTGATAGTGATGGACCTGCACAGCCAAAAGCATAGGCACAAATACACTGATTTTATGCACAATGAACACACAAGTGATGAAGTGCTACTCTCTTAGAAGCAACTGAAACCTGTTAATAAGGTTGAGACTTAATTTCAGTAACTGAACTATCGACACAAACACTTCAGGTTCTGAGGAGCTGTTTATTTGTGACACTTCAACAGTTAAAAGTCCAGATACTACGGCTTGAGTTGTACTGGTACGATTTTTTCTTCAGAATGAAATTACATATGCAGTCTACAGAGAGAGAGACATAGATAGTTCCTTGTGGAAGAGAAGCTGTAGGCATTTTATATTAGACAATAAAACACTGGTTGAGCCTCAATTATAGGAAGCTTTATTCTGTCAGGATAGTGAGTTTAAGTCTGCATGACTGCTTGTGCACTCGTAGATTGCTTTGGTAAATCTAATACAATGTCAAGGTACTAATAAGTCAGAATTGCAGGAGAGTTTGAGCCTTTGATAGTGGTGGAGATGTAACATTAGAAGTACTGGTAGCAAGGTCATCTGTGAAAGTTATTTGAATAGATTGTTCCAAGTTGTAAGAGTGAATCCTGTATTGCTGCATGTATACATGAACAAGATGAGAAGTCTTAACACAAATTGACTTGTATATTCAATTTAGTTATATCTTTAAGTTAAGGGGTTTTTTAAAAACCAGTCACATACACTGAGGTCGATGGGATCTAACATTGTCAGTTTCTGTTTTCAGCGTGTAATACATGGAAATAATATTTACAGACTAGAGGTCAAAAGATCCCTTTGATACTTTTGTATAACAAGTAGTCAGTAGATGTCCCTCACAGAGGCTGAAATCTTCTAAATAACAAAGGACTTGGTATGCTTGAAATCCTAAATGAAACAAACAAGGTTACATAAGTAACAGTTCAAAGATTTTTAACCAGGTTATTAGTGTATATTTCAGAAGAAACTAAGGCATGGACATTGAAAAGAAGCATGCCTGAAATACACTAATGTTTACTCTTTTCTGGAAAGGAATGTCTACAGAATGCGCTGCTACACAGAAGTAATAACCTATTAAAAAATACAAGTGTCAAACATCTCTGACTTATGTGATTCATAAGTGCATTAATATTGATAAAGATACCACAGCACTTCAAAATTTGTTCCTTCCCACTCAGAGCAACTAGGTAGCTGGTCTCAGTACTGTTTCTTACATACATACATACTAGGTGAAGAAATAAGCTTAAGCTGTTTAGTACGCTGTGTTTTGATTAAAGAAACAGGTGGTGTTCAGTGAGCTTTTAAGGCTACTAATGTCGCCTTAAACTATAGACAGTGAAATTAAGTTGCTCCTAATTGAAGCTTTAGTTGGAGCTCTGTTCTTTCTGCACCAATCTGGAAAGCTGGAACAATGTATATACAGTTAAAGCCCTTGAGACTGCGATGAGGAAGGGGAGAAAAAAGTAGTAAGTTTAGCTTCCATATTTAGTCAAACATTTTGACCCACATTAATCTTAGAGGAATTAATGCCCAGACTTTCTCTCACTGTTGCCTTGGGCTGTGTCTGAGTTAGTTTCCTTGGTTAACCAATATGCACATGCAAGGCAGAGTGGAAGACTTCACAAACAAGAAATGGCATCATTAAGTCAAATGTCTGTATAGAGATGAGATTGCCAAATAGTGTAAGTTCTACCTTTTTAGTTTATCTGATGGAGGGAAAATAATAATGAAAAGGGGAAAGAAAAAGAATGGGAGATGTAGGAAGAAGTAGGTAAAAGACAACCAGGTAAACTCCAGTTAGTGTGATAAAGAAGGCAAAGTATGGAGCAAGCTGCTGCAGTTGTAACATTTGAGACTGAATAATAAGGGGCTACTTCTTGCAACGTAATGTTTAATTAAATGCAAACAGGGATAAGGTATCTCCAGGTATTAGTGGCATGTAAGGTTTGGGGTGTGCAAAAACATCACAGATCTAAGGAACTTTAAGGACATCTGAAAATTTAAAAAACACACTGAATGCAAAATACTTGCCTTTTCACTCGCAGATTGATAGTTGGTCTTCTTTCTGTTAACAGGAAAGGAACATAGGTTAGAGGACATCTGAAAATTTAAAAAACACACTTACTGAATGCAAAATACTTGCCTTTTCACTCGTAGATTGATAGTTGGTCTTTCTGTTAACAGGAAAGGAACATAGGTTAAATAGTGACTTTACTGGTGTTAGTTTTAACCCTTTGAGAACTTGATTTATGAATGCATTTTTTCTGATTTCCAGCAATCCTCAAGAGTTTTTTTCCTCTCTTAGAAATGGGTTATGGTAACAAGTCTGTTGAATGCTTTTGGACAGCTGTTATCTCATGAACCACTGCCAAATTACCTTCCCTAGCTTGTCTTTTCAATGCTTCCAGTTGTGCTTTGTGCCTAGTTCATGGTCAGCATAAACAGCGCAGTATTTTAAAGTAGTATTTTTATTTGTCTTTAGTACTTTTTTACCTGCTGTTACCTAGAAGTGCTACCATAAACTTTTAAAAAAAAAGCAAGGGCAGCCTCCAATGAAGCACACAATTTTAGCCTTGTGTGGGAGCACTATAACAGCTTGAGGAATTCTGATTGCTACTAAGAAATCTAAGTGCATGAAAGAAATCCATATCAAGGAGTAGACCAGACACCTTCAGAAAGTCTCCACTCATCATATTTTTACAAAATATTTCCTGAAATAATCTGTAGACATGGATATGAGGACAGTTCAATTTGGTTCTGAGCATCTTTTGTTCAGTTTGAAGAGGATGCAGCTGAGTTAGGGTGTAAACCTATGTACAAAGACACATCTCTGCACATTTATCACTAATCATGCTTAATTCATTTTCTGACCAGTACACTAGTTCCAATAAGGAAACCAGCTGGTGTGTAGGATCAGGTTTATTTCAGTGTTCAAAAAAGCCACTGTACAAGAATCATGTGAGAAAGGCCTTAAACAGCCATCACAGTTACTTAATAATCAGAAAAGTAAATTAAGTTTGTAATGTTTTGTGTATTATTTGCATCAAGATACTTACTGGGAAGAGCTTTCCTCTGAAAAAGAAAAAGAAAAAAATTATCACAAGAACAGTTTCCTTAGCCGATTTAAACTGCTTTGAAAGTTATTCATAGCTTATTCAACTCTTCAGTTCCTAGTTTCTGAACCAAATGTCCCTTTTTGGTGTAGTGAGTTTAAACAGAAAAAGAGTAAGTTGCTTTCAAAGGGAAATTAAGTCCCAGGTGACCATGAATTCTAATAGCAGCTCTGTTAGCCTTTTACTTTTGGGCGGCGGACCTTCTCGGACCCCGACATTTGCCATCCCTTCTTGCTGTGCTGAACTCTACAGGCACTAATGTAAACGTTACATGGAGACGGTGCCTGGGTGCCGGTATTTTTTTGCAGCAATCCTTAAAAGCAATGGCACCCTTTCGCCACGACCCAGAAGAGGGAGCCAGTAATTCAGGTTCCCCTTCATCAGAACTCGTCTGCTCAGACCTTTTGAACTACAAGTGAACTTGCACGGCTTATTTTTTACGTTGCCTTTCTATACCATCCCTTCTCAAAACTAGAGCAGAGAGGCTCTAGGAAACAGGGTTCGGCTCGCTGCTTTCCCTAGACTGCTGTTGGGTTGTATGCAACTCCACAAACCTCTCCATGTCATTCTTAAAGTAGCTTTTTCAGTAGAAGTTGGCAGAATAAAAATGTACCATGGAGTTAGAGCCTTCATGAAAAGCAGAACATGTTGCAGTCAGCAGAACTACAGACTTTTCTTGGACACAAGGAAGGAGTGATTTTACTTTACTTACTTGTAAAGTAGCCCTTTTTTTGGGCATAAAATACTCCAAGGCCACACAATGCCATTACCAGAGCCACAAATACTACTGCAGCGATGATACCACTTACATTAAGGTCATCTGTAATCATAAAACATAATTCCAATGTTATAAGATGTAAAAATTTCCATAGGCTGGATTTTTTCCCCCTAATTACTACAGGCACCTTTTGTATCTATAAGTGGTCTTTGGCCTAAGCTGCGTAAATTAATTAGTAACCCGTAGATGTAGATAAGCAGTCCAAAAGCATTACTGTATCACAGCCACATTAACAGGAGTGCTTGATATACTTCAACTCCTTCATTTGGGTCAAAAGTAAGGAAAGAATAAGAGGGAACAAGGGATACATACTCCTCACTATACCTATCTCCAGTAAGTATTATTCAAGTCATATGTCTCTAAGAGAAATTATCTTGAAATCTTATAAGTCTTAAAACAAGTTTTTTCATATGGTTAGTTTGCCTACAGTAACCGAAACAGTTGATGACAGTGTCAGGTCCTAGTCCTGAAGCACTCTTCAGGCAAATTATTTAAAATTCAATGCTTTTTTATTTTTAAACAGTGAAGCTTTTAAAATTCAACACAATAAAGGCCAACAAATATTTTAGCCCAGATGTCTAAAGTTAAACTCTACACTGGGCTACCAAAATATCTAGCCATTTTTATTTTGAAGGTGATGACCCATGCCCATTTCCCGATATTATCACTAAGAACTTCAGTCACAATTATAGGAAAAACAAAAACATTAACAAACAGAAACTTTTTCAGAGGTTTTTTTTTCTGTGTCCAATTACTTATTTGGATCCTGATTTTAAGCATACATTAATATATTGGTTAGGAATTTTACCCCCAAACCTATCAATTTTTGTGCACTGGTTGACACCAATTTAGGACTTTGGTGAGTATTTCCACAACAGAGGGATTCTATCTTGGTAGCTTGTGGAACACTTGCTTATAATCAACCAGGAATGCATTAAAAGCCATGAGACAGTGATTTTCAGGTCAGTTCTAAGAAAGCACTAGACAACTGCTTTATGAAATACTTGGACATGAACTTCTCTGCAGTATTTTTCAGGATCTTTTAGAAACTTTAAATGTTTCTCTTCCACCTGCTTTCCTATTTTACCTGGAAGAGCTAGTTTTATATTTTTCAAAAACATTCATACATTTTGTGTTATTATAGAAGACTGTGCACCTCTCTCCTTTGCTAAATTCTTTATTAGCTAACCAATGTTACACTTCAGTTACACTGTGCAAGTAGAAAAGAAACAGGCAGCATGATTTTATTTTTTTTTTTAGGATACACTGACTTATCCAGTGTTCCTCTGGCAGGTATAAACAAGTCATTCAATTAAATTTTTCAACTGTTGCATTAAGATCTCACATGAATGCATCTCAAAAGGGAGGCTTTCCAATAAAGAAAATAAGCCAGTGGACTGGCACATTATGCTGTACAGCTTCCACAAAAACATTCTGAAATATTAAGGATCTCATATGGATACTGCTGTTGTGTGAAGTTAAGTTTTTAGCAACCTAAAGGCTGGCTACTGCAATAATTTTAAGGTACTACCAGCTGCTTTTCTGTGAAATGCAGTGAGACATGTCTGTGCTGTAAGAAAGGAATGCTCTAAGTAGCCACAGCAACTACATATAAGGAACTGATATTATTATTATTATTCCTCCCCTAAAATGCCATAATCAAAAGAAGATATAATCTGATCTTAGCTTCTCAGTTGCATCATGCAATAAAATAATTCCTATCACAAGACTGTTTTCCACCCTTATTTGCTTTGACACATACCAACTTGCATGCGCTTCACTGAGCATTTCTGAGATAATCCAATCCCATTGGAGGCTTCACAGAAGTACTCTCCAGTGTCATTCTTTGAAACTGTGTTAAATAGCTGTTAAAACAGAGTCCAAAACCATTATCAAAATGGGAAAAAAAAAAAAAAGACAGAGTCCAAAACCATTATCAAAATGGAAAAAAAATCAGAATTTCCAGTGGGACAGAAATTTTGACATGTCAACAGAGGTTTTTTGTTTAGTTGGTTTTTTAAACCAAAAAACCTGAAAGAAAGTGAGAAATTCTGGTCCAGATTGACTTCATAATTCAGCTCCCTAGTCACATCTCCTGGTCCTTAAATTCAGCTTCTGATCTAAAAGAGTCTTTTAGATGGACAGTTTAACTAGATGGAGTGTAAAGCAAGTGTAGAGTCCTTCACCTGGGGAGGAATAACCACATGCACCAGTACAGGTCAGGGGCTGACCTGCTGGAGAGGAGCTCTGAGGAAAAGGACCTGGGTGTGCTGGGTGACAGCAGGCTGGCCATGAGCCAGCAGTGTGCCCTTGTGGCCAGGAAGGCCAACAGTATCCTGGGGTGCATTAAAAAGCTCGTGGCCAGCAGGTCAAGAGAGGTTCTCCTCCCCCTCTACTCTGCCCTGGTGAGGCCACATCTGGAGTACTGTGTCCAGTTCTGGGCTCCTCAGTTCAAGAGGGACAGGGATCTTCTGGAGAGAGTCCAGTGGAGGCCACAAAGATGATGAGGGGCCTGGAGCATCTCCCATATGAGGAAAGGCTGAGAGAGCTGGGACTCTTCAGCCTGGAGAAGACTGAGAGGGGATCTTATCAATGTCTATAAAGTGTGAGGGCCAAATGAATGGGGCCAGGCTCTTTTCAGTGGTGCCCAGTGACAGGACAAAAACTGGAACACCAAAAGTTCCAGACAAACTTAAAGAAAAACTTCTTTACTGTGAGGGTGACCGAGCACTGGAATAAGCTGCCCAGAGAGGCTGTGGAGTCTCCATCTCTGGAGATGTTCAAAACCCGCCTGGACACTTTCCTGTGCAACCTGTTATAGGGAACCTGCTTTAGCAGGGGGTTGGACTGGATGATCTCCTTAGGTCCTTTCCAACCTCTATGATTCTGTAGGAATCTACAAGGAGATTCTTTTTTAATGGATCAGTACTTTCCAACAAAACACATTTTTTTAGACATGCTCTAATTTCTCAATCCCTGATATCAGAACATTTTGTTCATTTTACCAAAAAAGCCCAAAAAATCCATGTAATAGAAAAAAGTATTTCCCATAGAAAGTTTGTGGGCTTTATCGCCCTCCAAGAAACGGCACTTTCTAATGCTGAACTGCACTACCTATCAAATACCATTGCTGTAAAAATGAAAATAAGGAATCAAGAGATGAATAGAGTCTGACCACATGTCAGTTCCAGTGTTTCTCTGTATTTATTATTATTTTTTAACCATGACTTAACTTTTCTCCCTTTAATATATCCCATACATTAAGATTTTTAGAAGTGATTGGTAATTTTGAGTAGTCCACCTAATTTCCACAGTGTGCTGAAAGATCCACAGCACCTCTGAATTCTCAGTCCCGTTTCAGTTTCGAGGTTTGATCATGCACAACAGTAGGGTGTCCCTAGAACAACTCTTTACTTACGAAAAATCTCAGCTGACAATCCATCATTAGTAATATGTATCACTTTTTTTAGAAGGATCAGATAGTAAGAGATGGCCAGTTCTGTGGGGGAACACAAAACAACTAAAACAAAAAGCATACTAAGGTTACTAACAGCCCCAACTCCTTCCAACTGACTTCACAAGTACTGGACTGGAACCCGTAAATGCCACTGTATTTGCACAGATTCTGGACTGCAATTAGTGCTGCACTTCCACTGAAGCGTGTGAAGTTGCTATTTCAGATTTTAAGGTGCTATCAAATATAACTCATTCTCACCTGGCACTGGTTAGTTGACTGACAAGGTGAAATTTGTCATTTATTTTCTAGTTTCTGCTCATTTATCATTACTGCCGCCTTGCAACTCACCCAATTTGTCTGTATCACTCAACATCTATGGCTTATCATTGGTCTGAGGCAGAAACCACTTTCTACATTTGTTAGTGCATATTTCAGCATGACACGGATCTCCAGCAAAGACTTCATGCATTTTTGGGCTAAGACCCCAGTGCATTATTGTACTAAACAGTATATTTGGTCTTCGCAACAGCTGGTTGTAATAGAGTTGGTTTTTACACTTACCAGAGTGCCAGACTTTTTATTCATGGTGTAAGTTATGTTTGCTGCTCTTGCACTGCCTGTTCCTGTCTTTTCCAGTAAGGCAACACCATTCTTGTACCACTGGTACTCAGATGGAGGAGATCCCTCAGTCTCCTTACAGCTCAGTTCCACTACTGTTCCTGTCATTGCAGAGCTGGGTACCTCACATACTGGAATACTCGGAGCAACTGGACAATGAAATTGCACTTGTTACACAGTCTTATCAATATTGACTATATGGCAACAGTTTGACAGTCACTGGTGAGGAGGTGAACACTTGTGTACATGCTTAGCAACTACTACGTTAATGAAAAGAGGTGCTTCGAGAAGGGATTGAAGGCAGAGTCCTGCTACTGGAGAGCACAGTAAAATTTGAGTTGCTAAAAATGGAAGAAAGAGGCTTGCTTTGAGCCTCCCCCATCACATGCTGTAACATTCTGTCTCCAATCTATACACTCTCATCCAACCCCAGAGAGTTTGTTTCACCTCGTTTCTTCTATGAGGCCTCTTGCTCACAGAGGAGGAGTAACTCAGGGAATCTGTAGTCCAGCAATTGTGCCTTTCCCTGCCCCAGTGCTTAAAAACTGAAGTGAGGAAGAGGGAAAAGATTTTTTGTATTAAAATAAGTCAACTGGTTTTTGAAAAATCATTGTCAGAAAGAATTACCAAGACTGGCCATCATCACAGCTATTGTGTAAATCCTAGGTTGAGGACCAAGAACAACTTACTACTAAATTTCAGTTTAAATTAAAAACAAACATTCCCACACACAGATGCAGGAGAACTGACTTTTTTCTGCCATGAAGATGAAAGTCTCTTTTCTGATTTTTATTATGTAAACAGAAAAGGAACTTTTTTTTCTTTGGGGGGGGTGGTAACTTGAAGCTATGTAGAAGAAAACTAAGGGTGAATATGCATGCATGGAACATCAAAAGCACAAGTGACACCTTAACAAGTATTCATAGTTTTTTCTTGTCTGATTTTAAAATAAAACACAAAAATAAAGAAAACTAAGTGAAATACTAACTAATTCACATTAACTTTCAATAAGGTTTGTGAGCAACACACACACACACACACACACACACACTCTCCTTTGGGCTTCAAGATTTTGACTTTCAATTAAGAAGCCACATTTAAAAGAAGAAGGCTGTTGAGAGAGTGGAAGACAGAAGGAATAAATGTGTTTCCCTCATTGTTGGAGCTAATCAGAAGTTGATGAATTTATCATGAAGAACTTTGAGACTTTATTTATAATTTTAAAAGATCAATTACTTTTGTATAGAAAAAAACAATACAGAAACTACAAAAGCAAGTATTTTCTTTTCTCCCTAGAAGAAGAGAACTACCAACCCCAACCACTCATCCACTTGGAGCAATGTAAGAAGAATGTGCTCACTTTTAACTTTTCCCTCCTATTCCCCAACTGGGAAAGAAAACAAATGAAAAACCACAAAGAACAACCACCACCCCACCCCCCAGGCCAACACCATCTCTCCTGTAAATAAAGTCCACAGATTGCTAGCTTGCTGTCTGGCATTGTGCAAACACTGCAGCAGTTTCTCCTTCCAAAAACAAGGGGAGACTGGAGCATATTGGAATGAACTTCTGCTTAGGAATATTTGGTAACTGTTGACAGATGCTGACTTCTCAGTGCCAAACACCATGATCAATTTATCCAGATTCTCAGACACTGAGTGGAAATGGAAGTTTCACCATCACACAAATCAGCATACTTGCTAAGTTTTGAGAACTGAAACCCACATTTATATCAACAAAATCCTAGTTTTATTCCTTTCTAATGCAAGTGTGCATTTTGCAAAGCTGTTTTGTGAAGTATGCTGTAGAATGTGCATGTGCATGTGTGTTTATAAACCTAGCCCAAAGAAGACCCAAAAACCCAGCAGCCACACACCACATGGACCTTCAATGTCCCTTGCTATCATTCAATCTCTTAACAGAAGGCCAAGGAATAAAGTTTGTACCCAATACTGTGAGAGTAATAGTAGCCTCTCCTAGGCGTTGCCCCTCTTCACTCTTTGCACTCATTTCACAGCGATAGGTCCCGGAATCCTTTCTAGTCACATTTCTAATACGGATTCCTGTATTCAGCATCTCTGCTCGGCCTCGAAGATCACCTTTAAGGGAGAACAGACAGAGAGGTTTCTGCTATTTGCTTATAGCAAATGTCTGGATCTCATTGGCTTGTTCTGAAGTCACATACAATTTATGTACTATTGCTCATTTGTTCAGTATTAGTTATCTATCACCAAGGAGCAATATGTAATCCCCCCCCCCCAAACTTGTCCATTTAGTCCATAAAAACTCCTCAGTTCAAAAAACCTACATCTGTCACACATTTTCTAGTTGAAGATTCAATGCTTTTTTTCTGCAGATATTTCAAGAAAACATGTATAGCAGTAGTCAAGTGACAAAAAAAAAAAAGACATTTTCCACTAGAAGGATGGCAATCATTAATTTAATTACCTTACAGAAAGAATTGTGAGCAAGAGCACAGCAAAGTATTTAACATTTTAACTTGGCAAGAAAAACTTGATGGATTTAGCAGAGATACTGCCATCAGACTTCTTACAATGATGTTTTTTTCATTCTACAGCTTGTTATGAAATTAGTTACATGCACACATAAAACCGTTAGTTCCAGTGTTTCTCTAAATTAAATATATGCAGAAAAAAACAAGCTCATCAACCAGACCAGCACATCTTGCAAGCTCTACAAAGTAACAAGATCACTGTACTTTCATTTTACTTCTCAACCTTCATTTACTGTGTACAAGGTACCAGAGACCCATATTTTCTTCAACACATAAAGCTGAGGCAAGTCCTTTTCAGAACACACAAACAGAAACTCAGCTTCTGAAAGAATAAGAATAATTTAAAGTATACAGCTGAGTTTATATTTTATGTATATAAAAACTGCTGCATTATTCATATCTAAGCCTCCAGCTCTACAGGATAGGCTTCAGAAACCTCTTTGAAGGACAGGAGTGCAGAGTTTGCAGTTTGAGGAGTTTATACCTGAATATAATTTCATTTTTGAAAAATGTCAAGGAATGTGCAGTGCCATTTTTCTTAGTCTTGAGTTTTATTATATTTAATTTCATTAAAAAGGTAATAAAATCATCAATTATTAGTTAAGAAATGCTTTTTTTTTTTTTCCTTTCTGGGGAATAATTCTTTTCCTCAAAAGGACAGCTGTTCCATATGGAGAGTCAAGAGCATTCTCTTTCAGTCATTTCCCTAATGTTATTCCCCAAGAAAGAGTCAAAAACTATGCTAGAGAACAACATATTAAACCATCAGTCAAACTTTGTAGTACTGTACCTGTAAATTCACCACTGTAGTAGACAAATGAGACTCCTTGAGACTGGATTTTCTTCCATTCTATTCTTAAACTCATCCCTTTTGAAAATTTGTGCCTGCAACTAAGAATGGCCTCTGGGGGGAAGAACACAAAAGGGAAAATTAGAGATTTTAGCATTGTGTTTAGTGTACATTCTGGCTCCATGAAATTAATATTTCCCCCCTCAAAAGACATTGAGCAGTCATCAAGGGCCAGATCTACTACTCAAAGTGATGCACCAGACCTTCTCCAGATTTACACAAGCACAATGGGGAAACAGAAACTACTGATTTTCCCATACTTCAGTGGCCTTTGGATCAAACTTCCTATATGGGGGACTAGATATTCCCATGTTGGATGGGCACAGATTCTGTATTACTGCCTTCATTTTAGGTTTAAATATTTTCATCAGTGAGCAGATTACCATTAAAAAAGGACTCTGACCCTATTATCAATAATATTTTGTGAATTACCATTCTGAATTCAGTATCAGTAGTTTAACTGTTTAAATGTATAACTTAATACAGATCAAAAACATACCAGTAAGATAGTTAAATATTCTCCTAACTTATGTATTTAGTTACGATTTCACATTAGTTATTTTAAGGGTATGTGGAAGGTGAGAATCTGCTTCATTAAGGTTTCCCAATCAAGGACTTTTTCAATGAAAAAGTGGTAAAAAGGGGGCAGCAGCAACCAAAACCACAGAGACAGAAACATGACAGACGGGGACTAACAGAGACGATGACAAAGACCATCAGTTTCCAAACAAAGCCAGGGATCAGGTTAGGAAAGCCAAGG